CCAATTTTCGGGCTCAGTCACCCCCTACAGGACCCCTGGGCTTCTCATGGTAGCAAAACCCATCGCTACCCGTTCCCCATCGATAAAACGGGAGGCTTTGTTCAGGCCGGCTGGCCACGGGGCGCGTTCTTTGTGTCTGGGCCGTGGTTCTTTCTCTCATTGTTGCCGGGCTAGTAGGGTTTTGTTATTTTCCTAGTCAGACGTTTTCCGTCTTGCCGTCTCCACCATCACCACACTATTTCGTCGTGGAGGGCTTTACTGGACGAAGACTCGTTTTCTGGCGCCTAGCTGCTCCTCGGAGGTAACGGCCGAGGTGCACGGGAAACTGGTTGCGACATGAGAGCGTCCACCGAGAAGGACCGCTAAAAAACCGTGCCGCACAGCTGTTTTGCGGCACAGTTAAGCTAACTAAAATTGCTGATTGTAACGAGATTTCCACTATCATGCAAATTCGTGGAGGTTACGGTAGTTTTTGGAGTTCCCTTCTCGTGCTAGACCCTGCCTAGATCGATTGAAAAGGTCAGTTAGGTGGTTTTTGAAAGTTGCATGGTTACGGTAAACAGTACGTTTTTCTGCAAATCTGCGTCACCCTTTGATTTGTTAATTTTTCACGGGAAAATGCTGGAAATCAAAAACCAACCATGAACCCTTCCGTATAGAAATGAAGAAAAATCCTAAGTAGACAATCCTGAAATCGTTACTGAATTTCGCAGAAAAGCCAGTTTACTTTCCATGAGCACAAAAACCTAATTGGAATCAAACTGCCTATACTATTCAGAAAGATGAGAATTTTAAATAACTGCAAACTAAAATTACGCTCTGTGGCAAAATTACAATAGCTTGACTTCATATGAAGCAACGATTGATTGCACCAAGCTTAAGGTTTTATTGATATCCGAATTTTATCCAAACTTAGAGCGCTCCGCTGAATGCGGTAGGGCTAGGGGTGGTTCCATTCCGCTTTCGATTTTCAGCTGTTTTGAAACTTTTCGATTTGAAGCAGGAGCCTCTAATTTGTAGACGCTTTGCGGCTCATGAAAATGCGCCATGTCATCCTGCTCCATCCTAAATCGCGGGCTCAAATGAGAGATGTCTTAAGGACGAACAATGATTAGGCTCAATAAGTCTACGCAACCATTGCAGTTCGCAGCATTTATTTGCCTCCTAGATTACCCGGAAATTAACTGCACTTGCTGTTGCAACTAATTTAGCTGCAGTTGCGTCTTCGTGAACTATTTCGCTGTCGGAGCAATTTTGGAGAGCAATTTGATGCCCCTGATTTGTGGCAGGTCATTGCATCTTACAACACTCCGCATTGTAATGTGGACCAACACACTGCTATCCAGAAAAATGACGTATGTCGACAATGATTTCCATCTGACAGCCACTCAACCCATTATGACTTTCGTCGTGACGGTCTATGATCTCATAAACGCGCCACATTTCCGTTTCCGCCCTGTCTGGACCTAATCAGTGCTGGTTTTATGGAGGGTTTCCGTTGGGAAGCGTTTGGTTTTGGCCGTGTTGTCTCATAAATCTCTCAACAACCCCCCAATAGACGACGGTGGATCGGGTGGGATCGAAGAACGGCACGCAACATTTGGCGCACTGTCAGTGAAAGGAGCTGACGGGCTCGTCCGACCAGTGAGTGATGGCCAGATGTCCGACCTTTCACATGCCGTTCTTTTCTTCTTGCTACCACCTCGCTGTTGCGCTCTTTGGGGCTCAAAATTGATGTTGAGAGAGAATTCGGGATGCAGTACATACTATGGGATAGCATTATTTTCAATGCAATTCATGTGTGACAAGAGGACATAGTTAGGTCGCTTATGATAGCTAAATGATCCGAATAAGTACCTAGACATGCAGTGGCTTTGGAAGTGTAGGAAGCCTCTCAATCGTTGCTACAATTTCGAATGAGCGACTACAACATGGCTTATATCAATGAAAAGTGGTTACCTAGGTTTTTTGTAATTGGCGCTGTACAGGCATGAAATATGTTCTAAAGGCCATAGTTTGGCCCTTGAGGTGGAAAGCAATCTTCAATTCAAACAGTTTGGGCCACACGGCTAAAAAATGAAGTGTTAGGGTTTCAAGGATAGGGTTCAAGCTAGGGCCATGTCCTAGTGGGGACAAACAGCATAAAAATTGCCAGGCTCGACAGATAAGATGTGAAGGGTTTCCGAAAAGCCATTATTGGGCGATTGCTTTTCTGGACACCAAAGCATCCACAAGAGAAAGCGAGCACGTCTTTCAGAATGCTGCGCCAGGTGTACCAATTTCTTTCACACGCTTAGCCTCTTCACAGCCGTTAAAATCTTCGCCTTTGATCGGTCAGCGGCCAGTTGGGATAACTTCACGGCTATTGTCGTTTAGAAATCGGCCCCTGTCAGCATAGCTGGTTCGCTACTACGAGTGGGGGTAATCGTGCAGGATGAGAGCGAAATGGCGCGCATCGCGGCTCAATGTCGCTGATTGTCGCCGACGATGTTCCCATTTGGGTGCTAGAGATCTTAGCGCAGTGTCTTTCTTTCCCGTATGGCTCCTTTAGTTGTGGATCATTTGGCGTATCGGCCTTCAACGGGTAAACGAGCATCGCTGGCCATTTCGGTAGCCTTACCCATTGGAGGCCCCAGTCGGACGATTGC